TTAATTTTAAGAGTTAGACAAATAATAATAATAACAATTTCATCTTTCTGCTTAATCTCAGCAATTCCAGTCAAATGAGATGATTTTGAATCCTGGTTCTGTCATCCAATGCTTATTATCCTCAGTATCCACAGAACAGATAAAAAAAAACCAAAGAGAGATTCAGGGCTCATTATCACTGGAAACCTCCTTCTGAGTGATGGGAACTATGGAGTCAGGACCCAGGGTGCTTTCAGCCACATTCATCTCACCGCTGTCTCACCAGGCCACATGGATTTCTCCTATACCCAAGAAAGTCATAAGGCTAAAATCCTTACTGAATATTTCTCCTCCTAAATGAATTTTTCCCCCAACACTTGGTAGAGTAAATCCATGTTGACTTCATTTTCAACGTCTCCATGGATTTTTTTGGTTCAGAACTCTGACCTACATAGAAGGCTAGGGGTGTAGCTCAGTGAACTTGCCAAGCATGTCCAAGGTCCCAGGTTCAAGTCCCAGCACTACAAAAACAGAATCTGACCAATAATTGGGCAAGACAGCAATAAGAAGCTCAGCGGTCTGCCATTTCCAGAGCCCTATCCTGCCCCTCTGGGGCGTTGCTGCCTGCATCCTTACCTTCCTCCCAGGCCTGGCAATGAGGGGTTCAGTGGTTACTCCTGGGGCTTCTCAGAAGCCCCAACATTGATGTAAAAAATCTGGTAACCTGAACTCAGAGCAATTCAGGTGGATTGACTGTCACTTCCCCCAAAGCAAAGTGCTATCTCTCACTAAATCTGTCCCACCCTTACATAGATGAAGGTGAGATAACAATCTTCTGCCTCCCAGAACATTCCACCACCTGCCTCAGGCAGGAATCTCCCCTTGCCTGTCTTACAGACTGTGGCTGAAGAAATCCCTCCTCATCCAATCACCCCAGGTCTGTTGCCTCCCCACCAAGAGCTCTGCCCAACAACATCGCCTCGCCATCAACTATTACTCAAGGCTCAACGCCAAGATGGAGGGCGGCCAGGATGGAGGACAGCCAGGAAGAAACAACCCTTGCCTTTTATCCTGGCCAGGGCAACTCACCAAGACATCTCAGGGGCTCGAAGGGAAGGGGAAGGCATGGTTTTGGCAGGGGTGAGCTTGGCATGAGCAGAGGCTGGCAGATCTTTGCTAGAAGGACACAAAGCTGAGCCCTCAGCCAAATAATGGGCCTTCAGAGCTCAAGTTTCACTCTGAGTCAACAGCCCCCTTAGGAGAAGAGCCCCACCCCAGTGGCCCACCCTGTGTGTCATCAGCCCCTCCCCAGTGCCCTTTGCACTGCCCCTAACACTCAACCGGATATGCAATCCCATCCCCCAGGAGGGTCACCCCTGCCTTAACACAGCTCCCATTTCCTGCCCCTGGTGACTGCTCTGAAGTCTATTGTTCCCATGAAGTTTGGGTCAAAGGAAGCCCGGTCCCCACCCATGGGGGCTCTGGCCTGCCCACACCACACCAAGCCAAGGAGCTGGCCCACACTGGAGTCCAGCCCATCCTCCCGCCTCTACAGGAGAGGCCTGTATTAAACACAAGAGGCTGTAAGCACAGTCCTTACTTAGACTGGAGGGAGACCTGATGGAAAATTTCCCAAAGGACCAGTCCCCATCAGCTGAAGGTCCCCAAACCAGATCACACAGTTGATTAGAATAGCACTGATAATCAGACAGGAAAACCAAAGCTAGGAGAAAACTGTCATTTCAGAAGAGGTCAAGGCAAGGCTGGAATCAGAATACAGCAGTAGGAGATTGACTAGGTGCTCCCAGCAACAAAGCCAGGCCCTGCCCTGCCCTGCCCTGCCCTGCCCTACCCTACCCTACCCCCACCCCAGCCTTCTCCGCCTCCACCTGGGCCCCTGGGGCCCGGGTGCTAGAGAGCAGCTGTTCAGCTCCAATTTCAGAGCTTTAAACGGAGCAGTCTCCTAACTTCTGCCAAGAGAGGGTCATAGGGGCAAAGGGAGACAGGCAAGGTAAAGCCACTCTCATAAGCCCTGAATTTCCAACTGCCACTAGACTGGCCTCAACTACAGGAAGGTAAGGCCCAACGCCAGGGACCAATGTCCTTTACTTCCACTGGGAAGGGGGAGGAGGAGCCACACTTTTAGCAATAGGGATTACTTTGTGACAGTCACAGGCACTAGACCAGAATGGAAACCAAGAAGGTTCTGTGACATTTGCATCCCAGATCTGAAAAGACAGGGAAGGCTGAGGTTGCTCAATACTCCAGGCCCTGTCTTCTACCCAGCACCAAAAAGAAGAAAATAAAAAGATAGGAAGCCCTTCTCTTCCTGGCAGAGTAATACATAGATCTTGGAGGAGGAAGAAGGATATATCTGAAGGATCTCCTGAGGCCCCTTCCAGACTCGACCTGCGTAGATCCTTCTGTGAAATGGCTTCTTCCTCTATTGGGCCAGAGGAGAGTATATCTGCCTCCAACAACCTTATCTGAGCCACAGGATGGTAGGCACCACCACATAAGACTAGAGCAGCCTCCAGGCCTGGACAAAAGTGGCTGGGGAGATGAGGATATGGGGGATATGGGATACACCAGCGGGAGAATGCAAAAGGGAAGGGCATGGGTTCTACTGTCAGCTCTGCTGTTCACAGGTTGCATGATTTTAAGAAAGTTATAGTCCCTCTACGGACCTCAGTTTCCCCATGTTTAAAATAAGGGAGTTAATGAGCCAGATGCAGTGGTACACACCTATAATCCCAACAGTTCAGAAGGCTGAGGCAGGAGGATCACAAGTTCAAGGCCAGACTCAGCAACTTAGCGGGACCCTGTCTGTCTCAAAATAAAAAATAAAAAGGGCTGGGGACATGGCTCAGTGGTTAAGCATTCCTGGTTTCAACCCCTGATAACAAAAAAAAAAAAAAAAAAAAAAAATCCCATACAACCTGAAGCCCTTGGTTCAATCCCCAACACTACAAAACACATACAAAAAATCCACACAGGGGAAAAAACATGATTAATCCCTACAGGAAAAAAGAGGTTCCTTGCTATAATAAGCTTAGAAAATACTGGGGACAGTATCAGCTGGGGGAATCCCTGGGAATGTGCTGGGCATTATCCTGGTAGGTGCTTCTCAAAGTTCAGTTTTCACAACAAACATTCTGGATGGGTATTAATTAACCCTTCCCTTCTTGATATTATCCATCAGGATACTAAGCCTGGGGCTTTAAACTTACCGTTGTTATTTGTTATTTGTGTGGGGGTCTGACCCTAAACCTGTGCCCTTTCAACACTGGGTGCTGCCTATGAACTAGCTGCACATCCGGCCTGAGCAGGTGGGAGGGTGAGGTAATTCCCACCACAGTAGCTCCATCCTCAGGGTGGATGGAAGGGCAAAGACCAGAGCCTGCCTGACTCTGACAGTTTCTCCCTCCTTTCTTCCAAGAAGCCCTAAACATGATATTCACATCAGGAATGAAGAAGAATTCTGAAGCCAGATCTGCCTGTGATGATCCCCTCCTGTCATTGCCCACCATATACTGTGTCACTCCTGCCAATCTCATGGACAAAACCAGCAAATCACAAGCAAACCTTACCTCCTGGACTAGCACTAAAGCACTCATGCAATGAGCTACTCATTCTTATTCCCACAGAGAAGTGTTAAGTGGTCTAGCAAGTTGTAGAGAATGAGAGATTCGGGAGTAGGTGTGTAGCCCCAGTGGTAGAGCACTTGCCTAGCATGCAAGAGACCCTGTGTCCAATCCCAATAACACACACACACACACACACAAAGAAAGAAAGAGAATGAGGGATTCTTCCACTTGATTGCTTGGTCAACTCCAGCATTGAACCAGTAAAAGTAGTTCACAGCTGGTAAACATCAACACCTGTTTGTCCTTGGAGTCAAATAAAAGCACTATCTACACACATCTCAACATCCAAAATGGTCTCTTTCTTCTGAGGGGCTCACCCCCACAAACATTCCCAACAAACCACCCATCACCTAAATGCAAAGATCTCAACTTCCTTTAGCTTTCCACCAGTCTGTCCTGCAAACTATTCCAAGCAAGGACAGAATTCACTCTCCCGAAGAAAGACAGCTGTCTGGAAGAGGCAGGTGTAGACAGCTTTCTCTCAGCTCTGCCCAGTCCAGGGTAGCTGGGAGCCTGGGGGTCACACACTCCAACAACCAGTCAATTCTTCCTTGTATACAAAAAAAAAAAAAAAAGACACTGTTCCCTGCTCCTACTGTACAGGGAAGAAGAAGTCAGAACTATAATCAACATCCTCATGGAGAAAACTTTTTAGAGAAGAGACATCACCTACTCAGGCACTCAGACTCAGCACCCTCCTGAAGCAGAAATATGCACACACACTGTCACTCACGTTCACACAAACAAATCCACCTACTGGAAGCCAAAGTGAGTCATAGACAGACATCACCCTCACATACACCCAAAGCTAAGGAGGCTGGCACAGTCAGACGTCACCTGAACCCACTAAGCAGAGACACCCAGTGTGTCAGGAATCCTCTTCCTCCCATATGCACAGAGGCATGCTCCTGGGTGGCCTTCAGCGGAAGTGTTTGGGAGTTCTATTCCCCTGGTCCACTAGTTCTCAGGCTGAAAGGTGACAGCTTCACAACCCCTGGGGAGCAGGTATTTTTGCAGATGTCCCCCACTTTTCGCATCGCCTGAGCCCTTAAAACAGCCAGTACACATCCCTCCAAGACTCTCTCCTCCAAGACAGAAAAGAGCCCAGCAGAAACGGGGTTATGGGTCCTGAAACAATTCTGTCGCCAATGTTCTCGCTTCTGCCTCTCTCTGGTCCTTTCACAACCCGGACCCCATTTCCCCAAAGTCCCTGGGCTCCACTGCCAACTTCCCGACCCTGTAATCCGCATCGCCTCTACGATCCTCAGCGGCACAGCCTCCACGTGCCCTGCTCTTTTCCTCATCTGGTCCCTGGATTACGTTAGACGCCCGACCTCTGGCAAAGTCTAATCAACTCCCGACTCCCAGCCTTACCGGTCCCGGGATGCGGGAGGTGGGGTGGGCGCGCGCTCCGCCAATTGCAGCTAGTTCGCCCAGAGCGCCGACTCTTCCCAGCCGCGGCTCGGCTGCGTCCCGGGAGGCGGGCAACAGCACTGCAAGGACGACAGGGGGTCAACCAGCAAAGTGCGGGGGCTCCGGCAGAGTGCCGCGGGCCGGCGAAGGAAGAGTGGGTCGGCGGGACTGACCCTCCCCGCGCCGCCAGAGCGTAGCTTGCAGCTGCCGGCCCCGGTGTGCGGAGCGGAGCGCGCGGAGGGAGGAGATTTCCCAGAATGGGACTGTCGGGAAGACACGAAGATCCCAATTCCTGGCGGAGTGAGTCAACCCGGAGAGGAAGGGAACGCGGGGCGACTGCTGCGGACGCGGGGAGCGGACGGAAGGGAGGAAGCGGGGGAGAGGGCAGGGAGGAGCGCGCCGGAGCACGAAGGGAAGAAAGCGGCTGGACGAGCGCGCCAGCAGCTCTGGAGTCCAAGGCGGGAAGACGGACGGCGGCAAGAAAAGAGCACCCAGAGGGAAGCACGCGGCGCGGCGGGCGGAGGGCGCACGGTCGGGAGGGGGCCCCGTGGGGCTGGGGTGGCGCGGCGGGCGCCACTCACCTGACCGGGATGCGGCGGCGGCGGGCGACGGAACCGGGAGCTGCGGCCCTCCCCACCCCCTGGCTTCAAGTTTGCCAGGAGGACGCCTGGAATGTGCGGAATGAAGGCTGGTATGAGATGCGCGCAGCCGAGGGAGGGAGCCGGAGGGAGTGGCGGCCCTGCCACCGGCACCTCGGGGAGGAGACTGGGACGCCCGGGAGGGGGCGGCCGGTGAGGGGCCGGGCCGGGCTGCGGGGCGGGGTTGGGGCGGGTCGCTGGCAGGCGGCGGTGGGGGAGGCTGAGCGCGCCCAGGCGGGGACGCGGGCCTCGAGATCCCAGTTCTGGGACCGGGACCTCTGCGTCCAGCCCAATCGCTCCCCGCCACGCATTTTTCCTTTGATCTCAGCCCCAGTTCGCTTCCAACTCTCTTCGCCCCTCTGCTTCTTCTCCTCCGGGCGGAGCCCCGACTCCCTTTCCCCGGAGCCTAAAACTTTACTTTCTGCCTGAATGGGGTGTCTCCCAGGAGGACCCAGCCCCTGCCTCCGTCCTGACACGCTCGGGGTGAAAGACCGGGGAAGGGGCGGGCGCCCGGAGTGCAGGAAGGGCTGCTCCCTTCCCGCGACTCCCAACGAAGGACACTTCTTGCTCCAGGGAACCAGGAAGCAGGAACTCTCAGCTCGACTCCCAGATCCGCCACTGGTGCCCCCACGCTGGTCCCCTCCTTTCAGTTGTCTTCTGGTGTCCCTCAGGATCCGCAAAGCTGTCATTAGGAAGAATAAAGCATGTGGGAGAAAGCAGTCAGTGTGAGATCCGTGCGGTATGGCAAGAGACTCGTTCTGGGCTCAGTAGTAGTAAGTCGATAAAGATTTATCCAGTATGTACTATGTGCCCACTAGTAAAAACAGGAAGGACAGGACCTCAGCCCCTACCCTCAAAGAGCTTATAATTTAGCTGGGAAGACTAAAGGTACAGAAAAGTGTGTTCATTTAGTGGGTGTCTGGATCTTAACCATGCCAAATTAATTTAGGGGAAGAGGGATATAGGAAACACATGGACTCCTGTGTGGAAATCTTCAGAACAAATTGACTTAAAGATAGCTCTGTCAGCCACCTTGTGGCTTTGGGAGACTTGAAACCAGAGGACTTGGCTTTTTTTTTCAAAAATCAAATCCAACCTCTAGAGTGATATCGTTGAACCTTGTATTGAAGATATTGTCCAGATCTCTTCTCCCTTGCCAAACAGTAAATTTATGTCTGATTTATCTTGTTTTTCTTTTTTTTTTTAAACTAGGGATTGAATTGATCATAGGCTACCTACCTTTGTCAATGCAGCTCCACAGAACTTATCCTTCAAGAGATGAAGGATAAGGAGGCACTTTACCATTGACCTATATTGCCAAACCTTTTTCCTTTGTATTTTGAGACAAAGTCTCATGAAGTTACTTAGGGACTTGCTAACTTGATGAGGCTTGCCTGAAACTTGCATCCTCCCGCCTCAGCCTCCTGAGTCTCCGGAATTACAGGCATGTGCCACCACACTGGGCCTGATTTATCTTATTTTTGACCCAGCACCAACATGGTGCCTAGGTTAGAAAAGTGCATAATACATACATATATTGGTACCAGGGATTGAACCCAAGGGCGCTTAACCACTGAGCCACGTCACGCCACTAGGCCTTTTTATTTTTTTATTTTAAAACAGGGTTTCTCTAGATTGCTTACAGCTTCACCAAGTTGCTGAGGCTGGCTTTGAACCTGCCATCCTCCTGCCTCAGCTTTCTGAGCCATGCTATTACAGATTTGCACCACCACACCCAGCTGAAAAGTACACAATAAATGTTGAATGAAAAAAAAAAATTACTACCATGGAAGATACTGAAAAGATGTACTATTAAATGTCAGAGTTGTATCCAAGAGGTGTTCCAAAAGTCCAGACAATGCAGCTAGACTGTCTCCAATCTTCCAAGGCAAAGAAGAGTGAGGAAGCAGCTGTCATTTGGATATATAAATGCTTGTTAAATAATGAGTCATATCAAGGCTTGGTCACACCTCATACACCTGAAAAGACCACAACACAAGGCAATATATCAGCCCCACGTGGAGTACAAACTGTAAGGACTACTTAATTCAATAATACTGTGTTGAGTGACTATTGACTTTGACACCAAGCTAAGTGCAGGAATAAGTCCCTGCCCTCAACAAGTTCAGAGTCTAGGTGAGAAGATAATGATTATGCAAAATTCAATGGTAACTCAAGGAAAGGAACAATGAAATCCAAGTTACAGGGTGGCATTTGCTTCATCTCTTGAAGGATAAAGCCAAATTGAGACTGGTGTGGAGCAGCATGGACAAATGTCGGCACGTGCAGGCTGTTTAGCAAAGGTGTGTGAGCAGGAGAATGAGATGTGAAGACTGCAGTTAAAAAGGGGGAGCTGGGAGCTGGGGGCTGGGGTTGTGGCTCAGTGGTAGAGCACTCGCCTAGCATGTGTGAGGCCCTGGGTTCAATCCTCAGCACCACATGAAAATAAATAAATAAAATAAAGGTATTGTGTCCAACCACAACTAAAAAAATATTAAAAAAAAAAAAAAGTGGGAGCCAGGTTGGGAAGATAGTTGTATGGAGTTTTGGCCATCATAAAAGCCATAAAGTGCCAGGCACAGTGGCACTTGCCTGTAATCCCAGCAGCTCCCAAGGCTGAGGCAGAAGGATCAAGGTTCAAGGCCAGCCTGGGCAATTTAGTGAGACCCTATCTGAAAATAAATAAATAAATAAATAAAAAGGGCTAGAGATAAAGCTTGTGGTAGAGCGCCCCTAGATTCAATCCCCAGTATCCTAACAATAGCAAAGCCACTTGGACACAGTTGTGACATATTCAGCGCCACTATCAAGAGACTCTGGCAATAGTCTTGGGGGTGATTCAGAGACTTAGGGTGTCCTAAGCTCAAGGAGTGGTCCTGAAGATGGCAAGTCTGAGTCCAGCCTCAGCAACTTAATTAAGGATCTGGAAGCAGACCAGAGGCAAAATCAGCTGAAACTGTTGCTTAGAGTTTGTCTGTGAAGGTGAGAGAGAAAATAAAAATGGGCTAAACCTTAACAAGGGAGCAATGGATGGTGTCATTACTGAGATAAGAACTCAAACAGCAAGGGATTCAGGTGAGGTGGAAGGTGAGTCCTAGCCAGATTGAGAGGAAGGTAGGACAGGGCAGAGTAGAAACAGGAGAGCCACCCTTGGGAGTCATATTCAGCACAGACTGTTCAGAGGGAACTTGAAGTTCAATCTGTTTTCTTTCTTTCCCCCAAATTTTAACTATCCAAAACCAAGACCGTCAGTGGCCAAAGCTGGAAAGCTAGGTCTTTTAGGATTTTGGCTTCCTAGCCTCACCTTCCCTCATAGACTTACCTCCTAATAGAGTCTTTGGGAATTTCACACCTGAAGCAGTTGAGGATCCTCTGAGTAAAGAAAGAAAACGGATCAGATACGCCTATTCTGAAGGGTTAAAGACTGACAGTGATTTTAGACATAGAACCCGTCCTTCCCAGGGTATTCCCACTTTTTAAGGGATCACCCCCTCACTCACTGATCCCTAGGAATCAATCTATTGATGGAAATATTTCATCAGTTTGCATCAAGCTGGAAGAGACACAAAAATGCATCATGTAATCCACAACTCTCCTCACTTCCTGGTGATCCAGACCACTCTAATTCTACAAATGGATCCTCAATCAAGCTTGCTGATGGGTGGTGCAGGTGGAGAGCAGCAGGGGTGTGGTGAGAGCTGGTTTTGATGTGGGGAGGGTATTTGTGTCGGTTATAGGCTGAAGTCAAAGTTAAAAATCATATTAATTACTGTTACCATATGTTGTTTGGTATTATTTCCATTGGCATGGGGCGCTGTACCACTGTCATAAACTTTGTTTTTCTAACTCTCATAGGTCATAGTCAAACAAATTATCCATATGACATTTTGTTGAACAAATTCAACCACATCTATGTCATAGAAGTCTTTGCAGCTATTAATAATGAGATGTTTTATATTTTATTCATAGTTATTTTTTGATGCTGGAGATCTAACCCAGTGCCTCCCACATGCTAAGCAACCTGCTACAGCCCGGGCCTCAACAAGATGTTCTTTTTAAATAAACTAAACATATATAAGTGGGAAAGCAGGGTCTAAAGACAGTATTTATATATCTTTATTTTTACCTCTGGAAGCTTGAAGATTGAGATTTCTTTATTTTCTCATGTTATTTATTTTGTATGACTAATTAGTACTTTTACACTTATTTTTATTCATTCATTCATTCATTCATTCATTCATTTTGCAGTGCTGGGAAGATCCTTAAAATGCTAGGCAAGCACTCTACCAATGAGCCATATCTCTAGTCCTACATATTTTTTTGAGATGGAGTCTCACTGTGCTACCTAAGCTGGCCTCAACTCCTGGGCTCAAGCAATCCTCCTGCTTCAGCCTCCTGAGTTGCT